ATTTTGTTTTTATGCGAGACAAAGATGAAGTATATATATTGTTGTTAGATTTATGAGGACTAAAGAGGATTCTAATTTTAAAATGGTATTTCTATTTATTTACTAACACGTTTTCCTACTAGAATCGTAGTTGCTCTTCTCACGTTGTCACGTTTCCACAGTTCGACACGTGAATCGTCTAAATGCGAATGAACGGAACACTTTGAAAATAAAAAAACATCGAGACGAAGAAAAACGTTTTGCGTGTTTTTTTTTTTTTTTATATCGATAGCGAACCAATACGATATCACAAATTACTTTTGGGGGAATTTATATGTTTACGTCTTTTTTAATTCCATCAAAAAAAAAAGGAATACCCGTTAAATTTAATTTCGTCACGTTATTATAAATATACATCGTTATCGGTAATTTATCAAGCGATAAATTTTATTTGTCATCGCATTAAATGGTAAAATATGTCGATCAATAACTTGACGATTATGCAACAATGATAAGGGCAATTTGCATCTATTTTAACATATTATAAATATTAAAAGACAAAAATAAGTCTTTGTACGATAGGTGTGAAATATCATATTCCTATATCATGTATGATATATATATATATATATATAGGTGTATTGAATTATGACTGTTTGCTGATATTTTCAACTCCCTAAATCTTGCTGAAAATGACATATGTCTGTTAGGCTGTTTTCAAATCATAAATATTAAAAGATATGAACAATACTTTTTTCGTTATTGATTAATATTTTATTTTGTCTTTTAACATAAACGATCGTTGAAATGTTTGCTGGTACGTTCCCACGATTATTGCGAAATGTGAAGCATAAGCATTTGTGGTTTGGTAGCCTGCGGCTCGAACAACTTTCGGAAAGTTAGCAATCGTGACACTTTCCCTCGAATCGTTAACTGATACAGTACATAGAAAGCTTATCATCATCGTATATATTCATATAGGAAAATTTATTTCCATTGGAAGTAAAGATTTTCAGATCGTTATTAAATACAAGCGTATCATAAATTTAAGTACACCTAGTTGATTGCTTTTTTCCATTTAGGAATATTAGAACGCATTTATTATTGTCAAAGTTAATTTTAATTTATGCACTAGATAATTAAATCTGGCCTTCAGTTATTCCTTAGTATACTTTACACACACACACACACACATATATATATATACTTTTCAATCAATATTTTCCGTTGTACAATTTATTTACAATTTGTATATTTTCCATGAAATAGATATCACCCAGTGAGTAATATGTTTAAATAATTATGTAATATTACAGTTAACATTCTAATTTGTTAACTTACCTAACATTACAATATTTAGGACAAGTTTTATGAAACAAGTTGGAATAACTTACCGATAAAGCTTTACTGCATACGTCGAGGTGGCGACCACTAGTTTACGTCAACGTCATGAATGCATGAGCTATTTCTAGAGTGGTATAGAATGGTATAAAAGCATAGAAAATAACCGGACTTTGAAGTTTTCTGATATTATCATAAGGTACTATACGAATAAAAAAAAAAAAGAAAATCTTTCTCCTTTTGATATATTAACAAATAAATTGGAAAACACGAAACTTTTGATTAATAACCAATAAAGAGAAGTTACGTAAATTTTTCAAGTGGAATATATATAAATGCAAATTCAATAGCGTCAAGTCGAAAGATCGAAAATACGAAAAATAAAATTGCAAGCGTAACGATGCGATACGACGGTATCTGATGTTTCCTCAGGTCAATGTCTTTTCTAGATACATATATACGAAGAAACATCCTCGATATCAGCGTTTTTCAATCTTTCTTGTTATACGATCACACACATTTGTTTGCAATGGTATCATCCAAATATTTATAATACACAATTTTTAAAAACCCGATAAACTAAAATCATTGATTATTATATATATATATATTTCATCATTATGATGAAGTGCCTTGTCTGGCGAGACAAATGATAATTATGTTTGTCAATGTTTTTCAAACAATTTACTTCTCGGATTCGTAAAATAAATTATGCACAAATTTTTTGAAAATCTTTTATAAATTTTTTTCTCATACTTCATTTAAAGTCAATTTAACGTGACTGAATATCGGACCGTAATAGATAGACTCAGTAAAACTGCTCAATATAATATTTAGGTATGTAAGTATTTACGTGTTTGATTTAGCAAACCGCAGTTTTTTTTTAAAAATGCACATTATTCTATAATTTTTGTTGCATAAATCGTATCGACGTAACTCCTCGAAATGATCTAATCGAATTGAAATATTCAATAAAAGAAGTTGCAAATATAATAACGATAAACGAAACAATTAAATCGTAGTATTGTAAATAAAATAGTGCAAATCATTGAAATAAGTATATAAAGCTACTTATCTCTAATTAAAGCTACCGTTCATAGTTTAAACGAATTTGTTAAATATATGTAAGTTATTCGTAAATTAAAGAAATCGTAAATCTTACGTTAATAAAGTATTAATTGCAACGTAAATAAAAATATGTAATTTTTTTTTTTTTTTTTTAAAGAATTTTCATATTATCAATTATCTTTTGATAAAATGCTTGGTAAGTCTTTAATGAGGACGTTGTTCGTTAAGAGAGAGAGAAAAAAAAAAATTCAACTGACGAGAACGTATAATAATCTTCCACACATTCACACAAATGTATGCCCCAGCCAATTAACTAACTATTCCCTTCATACCAAGGAAGATCACCGACCGGTTTGAGGTACCTCCGACTGAAATAGCGGCTCGAAGAAGAGATGGTAGTAGAAATAAGGTTCAACCGAGGCAACTCGCTTGACCACTATAAGAACACACGTTTTCGCTGATACACACGGATATCACACGGTAATATATCGCGTGTAGAACTTTCTCGGAACCCACCACGGAAAACCCTTGCGCGCGTGACGTACCAAAATCACGACGACTCTTTCCTTTTTTTCTTCTTTTTGACGATTAAAGTTTCCTCGCGATCACCGTTGTACCAATTTTCATCTCCAAAAATTTACGAAATAATGTAAAAGAGAGAGAGAGAACAAGATTTAGGCTAACTCGTTATCAGAAAAAAAAACACACACACACATATCGCGCTATTATTAAGAATTTGTATGAATATGTTAAAAAAAAAAAGCGAAACGATTCGACAAGTATTCCGGCACATATGTAATATACTTATATCGTACATATGTGCACATAATAAAACGTGTGATATCATATCTACTTTGTTTCACCTTGAGTGTTATTTGTTAAGAATGCTGTTGGATGCTTTTAGCCTAGGATTCTCTCGAATATTAAAAAAAAAAAAGAAAAAAAAGGAAAACGATTATAAACGCGTAAACAAGAAATGTGATTTCACCGCTATTATTAATTGAAAAAATGTGTATATGTACACCGTTTACGAAGTATAAGCACGTGATACGAGTTGAATATCGTTTCGTATCTCGTTGAAATGACATATGTTAAGTACTTACGTGCCAACAGTCTCGTATTCTTTGTTCTCTTTTCGTTCCCTGCAATCGCGAAAATACCGATTGCACTTTTTCTTCGAGTGTCATGGGCTCGCTCTCAACCTTTTGCGTTTGCGATTTCGAGAAAGAGCGCATTATTTCTGTTCTCGCTATCATCGTCATTTTCGCTAGTCACTTTGTAAATATGTGAAAAAAAAAAAAGAAAAAAAAAAAAAGAAAAACTGACTTATTTTACGACGGATGAGCATGTGCCCGTCAGGTGGGAGCGGGCTTTACTCGTTCAAACTATGTGGTATCGTTGTGGGTACTTGACAAAGATTTGAAAATACGCCTTATCTTTATGAGTTCTGCACCGTTTTAGAGAACCGCGAGCTTATATGTAAAATAGCCTAACACACTCGGTTTTGTTTAAACTATATTATCTTATATGTATATATGTGTTCTCTCTATATAAATATATGTATATATATATATATATATATTTACATATATGGTTGCATAAATATCGTTTCACTTTATAATCAGCCGATTGTAGGAAGATAGTTCTACATAGTGTAGTTTAATCAATTTTAAAATACCGAGTCATGGAGATGATCAATGGTATTAAATCTTCTCTCTATCAATATTAATATTCATTTAATTTTCAATATTAATGCATTGAACGTTTGTATATTCTTATTACACACACACATTAATAGTCGTGTACTAATAAAAAAAAGTTCCTTGAAGAAATATATTTATATTTTCGATTTATGTTAATATTATAAATGATGTTAATACTCGTGCTGTAAATAATTATTACGATTAATAGAACGAGTTTGTGTGTTTATCTGTGCTTCAGTTTTTATTGCGACGTAATTTATTATCGAACCGAAGACCTAATAAAATAGGAAACGATCGAATGTGGCTTTAATAACGATAAGACGACTTACCTGCAGTGACTCTCTACATTGAGAAAACGTATCGGTCCGTGTTTAGCCTACTTTGTATTAATCGAGAATTATATATAGACTTTCATATATCATAAAAGCCATCGCATGCCCTTCGTGTATTACGTGTGTTTTTTTTTTTCTCAAGTTCTATCTTTTAGAATCTACCTAGAAATCCGTGTACATTACGTTTTGTTTGAATAATTTCACATATCTATCTATATATATACAATATATCCAATCGCGAGGAATCATAGTTAATAATAGCTTTATCATTTTATCGCAAAATTATATATATACCCTATAAAAGCAATATAAATATTAATAATAATAATGATCTTTGAGATGATAATGAAATATATACTAATAATGTGTGAACTTATGAAATTGTTTGATTGTAAATTATTATTATCATCATCATTATATATATATATATAATTTATTGATATATTT